TTTAAATATGTGGAAAGTTTCCCAAACCCAGATATAAGTAAATTATACCTTAAATTTCTTTCACAGATTGCTAACACATATAGGCTTCAGAGACTATAGAGTAACGTAAGCTATTAGACCCAAAGCCTGGAGTTACGCTATTTCTACCCCAAACAACAAGTCATAATCCCTACAAATACCATATTCTTGATCATTGCAACTCCCAGGTAAAACCTATTCTGTAGGATCTAATTTATTTGCATATTTTATACTTCTGATTACAGCACTCTTGTAATAAAAACTTCCTTATTCATCTTTCGAGGTCTATGATAAGTGATGATTTCTCACAGAAGGTTACTTTGATGTTTAAAATTAATATGATTTTCTACCTCTTTTCTATCAAAACATCTATTACATTATATAATAATTACCAGGTTATGTATTCATCTCTGACAGTTTCAGCAACACAAAATACTTAAGAGTAGATGCGATGCTTAGCAATTAACACACATGTATTGAAATGATTATGTGAGTTTATCTAGCAAGGTTCTTGTACAAAGCATTCAGTACATAAAACAGCCATTTATGAGAAGAGATATTCCTAGGCAAAGATAGAATTTAATATTCTGGATTGAAGAAAGCAGTTTACTACTAGAAAGTAGGAAGATGTACTGAAAAAGAAGAACATAGAGGGCTGCAGAGTACAGAGACATTTAGTAAACCTAGTATGATATAAATACCCAAGGGGAGAAATGACATAGATTTGAACTAACATAATTGAAGACTGTATTCAATTTTTACGTTAATGTTCCAACAGTGTGTTATTTAGATCCAAATTTTGTCTCATTCTTTTGAAAATAACAAAATCTTTGCAGTGTATCCTTGAGAGCTTCTTTCACCTGCTGGTTCCTTAAAGTGTAAATGAAGGGGTTGAGTAAAGGGGCAACAGAGGTATTGAGCACAGCCACTCCTTTGATTAAAGTCACCTTTTCCTTTGCTGATGGTTCCATATACGTAAACATACAACTCCCATAAGTAATAGACACAACAACCATGTGTGAGGAACAAGTGGAAAAGGCCTTCGTTCGTTGTTGAACAGAAGGAAATTTTAGAATGGTTTTGATGATGTATGTGTAGGAGAGTACTACTAACAATAATGTGATGACAAGCGTCACCACAGCTAAGATAAAAGCTACCAATTCTAGGACATGTGTATCTGTGCAAGAGATCTGCAGAATAGGAGAAATGTCACATAAGAAGTGATCAATAGTTTTGGAAGCACAGAAATCCAGCTTGAGCCCCAAGACCAAAGGGGGGAAAATGATTAGGAATGCAGTTGCCCAAGAGCTGAGTACAAGCTGGTAGCATACTTTGCTACTCATAATGATCGGGTAATGCAGTGGTTTGCAGATAGCAACATAGCGGTCATAAGACATGGCAGCCAGGAGGTAAAACTCAGTAACTCCTAATAAAAGAAAAAAGAATAATTGAGTTGCACAACCATTGTAGGAAATTGTTTTATCTCCAGTCACAATACTCATCAAGAATTGTGGAATGCAGGCTGTTGTGAATGAAATTTCTAAGAAGGAGAAACTTCGAAGGAGGAAATACATTGGAGTCTTGAGATGGGGATCCAGTAGGGTGAGGAGGATGATGATTAAGTTCCCCATCAGGCTTAAGATATAATTAAAAAATAGAAAAAGAAAAATCACAATTTGTAGCAGAGGGTCATCTGTCAGTCCAAGCAGAATGAATTCTGTCTCCATTGTTTGGTTCTTCATTTTTCTTTTGTCCCTTCAAATCTACAGAAAATAAAAACTAATATCACAAGTAAGAAAAGATTTTTTTTCATTCTCAGCTGTAGAAAGTTTCATATTCGGAAACTTATGTTGAAACATTTTACAAATCAACTTAGAGTTCATCAAAATGAACACGTCATCCAATTCATCACTCATGTTTACAAGAAATGCAGAGAGATTCTTCCTTGTCCAGGGTTGAGCAATTCCTACTTACCACTTTACAGAAGGCTTGTCACTTGGTTGAAATGTAGTTCCATAATTTGGTTAGTGTTAATCTATGATCCATCTTTCAAACACTTTATCCCAATTGGCTGTTAAATATTTTTGAATTTCTGAATTTAGCTAATATCTCAAGTAATTTGTTACTTAAGACATTTATTCATTCATCAAGTCCATTTTATGTTTTATCTACTTACTTTTTTTACTTGCCTTCAGTTTTTCTAACT